AGTAGTAAAGTCGGACGGCTATATATCTTTCGATTATATGATACCCTTCGCCAATATAGGTATATTAAACAATGCTATTAACATGAAATTAGATGAAATAAAATATGTGATGTTTATCTAAATGTGAATCTACCTAAATCTATCCATAAAGTATGTAAATCGACTTTAAACAAATATAAATAGGTCATCCGTTGGGCTATGTCTGTACTTTTAGAAAACGTAACTACGTAATTCTATGCTCAATTTTGTAAGTTGTGCAAATATATATGGAAGCTCTATCCAAATATTAAGTGATTTCAAACAAACTTGTCACAGGTTAGGTTATACTAATTTCAGAACGTTTTGTTCCTATCAGCCTATTGGTTCCTTGGTGCGTCAATTACTTAAAATCAATCTATAATAAAAAAAGGAGCTATATCTAAATCTGGACCGATTTTCACGAAAAAAGGCAGACATCACTCTAGACTCAATTCAGTACGTTATGCCAAATTTCGTGCAAATCGAAAGATATATAGGGACTTTGGTGCACCATTTAATATTTGAAATTTACATTCAACAGAAGAAGTCAATTGTGAAAACTCAACGTGCTTTTAAAACATTAAAAAAATGTGAGAAGTGCGCCTTTTAAGAACACCATTAAGCGTTTATACGAAAAATTTTCGACTGGTAAGGCTCTTTCTAATCCGAAGAGGCCATTTAAAAATCGACCAAGGCGATCGGCCGAGAATATCGCTGCCGTACGAGCCAGTGCTGAGAGGTCACCAAGAACATGCTAAAAACGCCGTTCTCAGCAGTTGGGCATGGCTCGGTCCACTTTACAACGGATTATTCGCATTGATTTGCATTTGTTCCCGTACAAAATTCAATTGACGCAAAGAATGTTGCCTGCGGATAAGTCATCGAAATGGCCGAAAATGACGAGCAATTTTGGAACAAAATTATCATGTCCGATGAAGCCCATTTCACATTGAATGGGACCGTAAATAAGCAAAATTGCCGTTTTTACGCCACTGAAAATCCTCAGGAGATTCAAGAAGTGCCTCTTCATGACGAAAAAGTCACAGTTTGGTGCGGGGTTAGTGCGAAAACGAAAACGTCATTGGGCCGTTTTTCTTCCAAAATGAAAATGGCCATGCTGTTACCATCAATCAGGAGCGTTATCGCGACATGATGACCAATTTTGTGATGCCAATTATTCGTCGAAAGCGTATGAGGCAGTTCTGGTTTCAACAAGACGGCGCTCCACCTCACACAAATCGCATAACAATCGATTTTCTGAAGAATTTGTTTCCGGGCCGTTTGATGTCGAAAAGTGGTGATTTGGACTTGCCACCGCGTTCGCCCGATTTGACGCCGCCTGACTTCTTCTTGTGGGGATATTTGAAGTCAAAGGTTTACGTTAACAAGCCAAGGACCGTAGAAGAGCTCAAGGACAACATTCGTGAAGAAATAGCCGCTATTCCGGCCGAAATGTTGGCAAAAACAATGGAAAATGCAGCAAAAAGTGCAACGCCAGAGGCGGCCATTTGAGTGATATCATATTCAAAAATTGATGTAAACAAATCTACTTGGAACAAATGAAAATGATTAACATTGCCAACCGCCAAATTTTTATTTTTTTTCTTTGATTAAAGAAAAACATGGGTCCGTCGAATATGGGCAACCCTATACCATCGCTCGTTACTGCGATGCTGGTAGCATAGCCTGACGTCAAGGAAGTCGACGGAAGAAACAGCAACATCAACAGAAATGGTTCGGCAAGTAAAGGAGCGACTTGATCGAAACCCGCGTCACAGTGGCCGACAAATGGCTTGTGAGCTAGAATTGCTTCGGTTGGCCAAAAGTAATGAACTGCCGAATTTGCGTTTCTCCGATGAGAAAACATTCGTTGTTCAGTAGTTTGTAAACAAAGGGTATATTAAGCCTTTGGGCACGCAAACATTTTGGCTGCAGACCTTGGACATTCCAACAGGACTCAGCACCATGGCACTCAGCACACGCCATCCAAGAATGGTTACAAAATGAGGTTCCTCGCTTCATTTCCAGCCACAATGACCACCAAAATCTCCGGATATAAATCCGTTGGACTATTGTGTTTGGAGTATTTTGGGAAGCAAGGTTGGCACACAAAAATACCAAAGTGTCGATCACCTCAAGCAAGCGCTTCGCCTGGAATGGGCCAAAATACCGCAGAGCAACTTTCGGGCAGCGTGTGACGGTTTCATTGGTCATAATTCGTGCCAAAGGCGACCAATTCGAACAAATCTAAACTTCTTCTAAAATTGTATGCTATTTCCGATATTTTTTGCTTTAAATCAATAAAATTTAAAGAAAAATTTAAAAATTATGGCGTTTGACTTTGTTGCAGTTTTTTTATCTCACCCTGTATAAAGATTCGCCTGCTGGACCTGTATATTCACCAGAGACCCCACAAAGTATATATAATATATTCTTGACCATAATAAAATTCGATGTCGATTTACTATAGAGATAGCAATATTTAAGATATAGATCTGAAATTTTCCACAGACATTGCTAGTACACCTAGGAAGTTTGGTAGCAAATGGGATATAACGGTGTACGTTTTGGTATAGCTCCCATATAACGGTACCCAATAATATTCGGTATTTTGGGGATTTTGTATACTTTTCCAACCGAATTGCCTGAAATTTGGTATTTTAGTTTCTCATTGTATAGCCCATCTCCATACTACGCATTATTAATATGGACCCAAGTTTCAGGGTAGCCCCCATATAATGGTACCCCCAAAATTCGGTATTTTGGGGATTTTGGACACGTTTTTCAACAATTTGGTATTTTGGGTTCTTATTGTATAGCACATCTCTATTCCAAAAATTGTTCATATTGAGCCAAGTTGCCGGGTAGCCACCTTATAACGGTTCTCCCAATATTTGGTATTTTGGTCACGTTTTTGAAATCGAACTAGCTGTAAGTTGGTATTTTGGGATATCGTGGTATATCACATCTCCGTACAAAAAATTATTAATATTGACCCATGTTTCACCCCATATAACGGTACCCCATATATCTTTATAAAAAGCTAGCCCCCTATTAGATTCTCACGTCTCACGTCTTTTTCGGTATATTCAAAGTCCTATCATAACATGATTTTTCTCTATCAGAACACCTAGATCTATCCATAAACATGTCATTCGTTTGTTAGAATGGGACAAAAGTATGTAAATCGACAAATATAAATAGGTCATCCGTTGGGCTATGTTCTACTTCTAGAATACGCATCTACGTAATTCTATGCTCCATTTTGTACGTTGTGCAAAATTTTATGTCAATCTGACTAATCTGACTAACATGCCCAATTTACTTAAAATCGGGCGAAATATATATATATGGAAGCTATATCAAAATATGAAGCGATTTCAACGAAACTTGTCACAGGTTAGGTTACACTAATTTCAGTACGTTTTGTTCCTATCAGCCTATTGGTTCCTTGGTGCGTCAATTACTTAAAATCAATCTATAATAAAAGGGAGCTATATCTAAATCTCAATCGATTTTCACGAAACTTGGCACACATTATTCAGGACTAAATTCAGAACGCTATACCAAATTTGTTGCAAATCGAAATCGGACAAAACTATATATGGGGCATGAAATCGTACGAAACTATATATGGGAGTTTTATCTAAATCTGGACCGATTTTCTCGAAACTTGGCAGACATCACTCTAGGCTCAGTTCAGTGCGTTATGACAAATTTGGTGCAAATCGAAATATATATAGGGACTTTAGTGCATCATTTACATGAAATCGGACGAAACTATATATGGGAGCTATATCTAAATCTGGCCCGATTTTCTCGAAACTTGGCAGACATCACTCTAAGCTCAATTTAGTACCTTATGCCAAATTTGGTGCAAATCGAAAGATATATAGGGACTTTAGCGCACCATTTACATGAAATCGGGCGAAAATATATATGGGAGCTATATCTAAATCTAGACCAATGTTCACGAAACTTGGCAGACATCACTCTAGGCTCAGTTCAGTACGTTATGCCCAATTTGGTGCAAATCGAAAGATATATAGGGACTTGAGGGTGCCATTTACATGAAATCGGACGAAACTATATATGGGAGCTATATCTAAATCTGGCTCAAATCAGTACGTTATACCAAATTTCGTGCAAATCGACAGACATATATAGGATCTTCGTTGCAACAATTACCTTAAATCGGACGAAAATATATATGGGAGCTATATCTAAATCTGAACCGATTTTTCCCAATTTCAATAGGGTTCGTCCTTGGGCCAAACAAATTAGCTGTGCCAAATTTCATCCAAATCGGATTATAAATGCGACCTGTACTTTGTTTACAATTTAACAGCAACAGACGGACAGACGGACGGACATGCATAAACCGACTCAGAAAGTGATTCTATGCATATTTTGAAAAGGAACTATGGGTCTATCTCGTTTCCTTTTGCCTGCTACAAACATATGCACAAATACATAGTAACCTGTACCACAGTGTGGTGAAGGTTATAAATAGTTTGCTATTTTTGTGGGTGTTAAAAATGACAGAGAAAATTCGGTAACCGGCATGTTAGCAGTCGTAACATCCCAGGAGCTAAAAATCTACCATAAAACTGTTTTAAACTATTTACAAAAAAATGAATTTATTTTTCCCAAACTAATATTTTGAATGTCATTCTCATGATGGAGGATATAAAAAGTTCGGCGGGCCGAACTTTACATCGTTTCAATTTTTTAGTTTCAAAACACTGTGCCATGTCAATAACATTTGTTTTTAGCATGAATATAAACAAAAGAAAACTTTACAAACATAAATATGAAAAATAATCGTTTTCAGTATATAGCCACAACCCTCCCCTCTTAATATTCAGGTCATATATATAGAAAATAGCGATGAATAATATCCATTCAAGCATATCCTATTACTTCCCAACACCTTTTTCTTTTTTTTTGGTCCCTGAATTCTATTCAATTCTAGGACTTACCAAGGGTTCATTACTTTTAACCAATTGAACAATTTTAATGGTCTCCTCATCTTCATCCATTTCAATGGGTAAATCGGGAAGATGTGGATAGAAATCCTTTTGAGCAATGGCATCGTGGGCATAAAGAAGACTCTAAAAAATAGATATGAAACAAAACGAAAGAAGTGGAAAACCACGAAGGACACATTAAAGCACTTGTAAAAAGCAAAATAACAACAAAGTCACAACTCACTTGTAAATGCGGTTTTTGTAGTAGATGAAATGCCTCACGGCAATCTTCATTGAGGTGACACTGCTGTGATAATTGTTCCAACACTTCACACATTATCTACTCAATGGGAACATCGAGGGGGAGGGGAGAAAGAAAATATTGTATTTCATATTAAATCTGATTTTTTGTTTAAATTTTGCACTTACCATCCCTGATGTTGAGAGTATGGGTGCCAAACGATCATCCTTCCCCACCTTGGCCACTTTACTGTGCACATTGACCAAAGCATTTAGTTCCTTGGATTCCAGTAGCGTTTGCAGAAAATCAATTTCTTGATCATTGGAAAGACTTTCAGCTTCTTTTAGTGAAGTTATCAGCTTGGAAAGAGCTTAAAAAGAGGCAAACGGATTTTGAGTTATTTGGGTGAGTGTATCAGTGTGTGTGTGTGTGTGGTGATGGCTTACCCGGATCCCAGTGTGTATCATTTGCTGCCATAACTTCAGCTGTCATAATTCATAAAAATGACGGCAGGAAATTTTTACAAAAAATTGTCTACGTCTACTTTCGCCTATCAATGTTATCTAAAAAAATATAAAAAAAATATTATTAAAAAAATAATTATAAAAAATTAGAAACATTTATAAAGACATTTGAAATGTCATAAATGATAGTTGTACTTAGGTCAACTTTTTACAAAGTTGAATTTCTACGGAATGGTTTCGGACTGAACAAGAAAGTGATGATCCAACAAATGTTAGGAACTGAGCTCAGACGTATGCAATTTGGACATATACCGACAACTCGGTCAATCGATTGATATAAATACAAATTTCAGCAATTTTTAATGGGAACGTGGACCGATGTACTGGGTAGGTACTACTTACCCTACCTTAAGTACACATACCTACCTACTATGTAGGTACTGCAATTTAGGGGGCAAAGTTATGTGAAAAGATACTATAGCTTAATTTGAAACCTAATATTTGTATCTCGATACCTTCATTCATGCTAAATTTTAAAAATACCGAAAATCGGGAGGTATCATATTTGGGGGCTAGATGGGGGCTCGATATCCTTCGAAGGCAGAATGATGGCTAAATCGTCTTAGAATTCCAGTTAACTTTTTTTAATATAAAAAGGGCTTATATGGGGACTACCCCTTAAAGGGGGCCATTATTAATAATTTTTCGGAGGGAGATTTGATGTCATATACGGTCCACTGCCCTTTTAGGTATTTTAATGATTCTAGCCTCATTTTTCTTGAGTCAATATTAATAATTTTTGGTGCGGACATGTTTTATTCAATGACAATCCAAAATACCATATTACAACCAATAAGGTTGTAAAACGTGTTCAAAATCCCCAAAATATCGAATATTGTGGGGTACCTTTATATGGAGACTGCACCAAAATCTGGATCGATATATACCATTTGCAATGTGAAATTTTAAAGCTTTATCTTAAATATTGTGAATTCTATCGTGATTTTAACAGACAGACGGATGGACATGCGTAGATCGTCATAGAATTTGATTTTCATCAAGAATATTTATACTTTGTGGCGTCTCCGGTATAATGACAACCACATTCCACCTTATGGTTGTCATTATACCCTAGACAACTATGTTGTCAGGGTATTATAGCTTTGTGCAGCCCCAAGTGTTTGTAACACCGCGAAATATTGGTCCTAGACCCACCTTTAAGTATACCGATCGTCATATCTTGACTAGCTGAGTCGATATATAAATTATAAACACGATATAGGCCACAGTTATGGACCAATCTTCGCGAAATTTTGCATGTAGGATCGGTTTGGCCCAATGAAGACCCCTATTGTTTTTGGTAAAGATCGGTTAATATTTAAAGGATGAAATGGACCAAATACTTAATTTTTGTCTGTTTTTCTGGTCGCTCCAGAGGCCGCAATTATGGCACAAACATCTCGAATTTTTACATGGAGAAGAGGATTGGGCCAAAGAATAAGCATGTCTGTTTTGATAAAGATCGGTCAATATTTAGCGGGTCAAATGGACCCTGACTTTTGTGTAAAAAATTACAAAATTTGTATTCTACAGCTTATATATTTACTCGTGAAGGACATAGAGCCGAGAAGTTGATAGTATATCCAAGACGAGTGATTGACCTTTAAATTGATACCAATTATATTGTCTTATGTACTCGGATGTGGGAGTTATAAGTAAATATTTACAGGTATCTCCGTATTCGTATATTATTTAGTAACCCATTATCACTCTACAGAGGGGAACTATAGCGCTGATCGCTTTGAAATGTTCCAGGTATGGTCAAGAACAACGGTGATGATCAGATAATAATTTTGGAATGAAGTGGACCAAAAACTTAATTTTTTGTGTTATTTTCGAGTCGATCTATAGACCACAAATGAATGCCGAATATCACAACACAACCCACGGTGAAGGACAATAGCTGTACTGAATTCTCATAATATTCGGAAAATATGTCAGTGTGAGAAAGAGGTGCTGTTTACCTCTAATCGGGCAAGAGGGTGCAAATATCACGAAATATTGCCCAGGCTCGGAATAAACATCCGCAGAAAATTTGAGTTCCGTGGTAGGGTATCGTATGGTCGGCCCCGTCCGACTATACTGCTCCGCTCACTGGTTTTTTTTGGATTTTAATGGGCGGAGAATCTTCCTACCAAAAGTGGTCAATATTGGCCCACTTTTTACGGTAGCTCTCATGTAACTGTACCTTTGAGTTCTGTTAAAACATTTGTTAGCCGAATCGGCTGTACTTTGATATTTTGGGTTTACCAAAATTTATTTACCTAAAATTATTAACATTGGTCCTCGTTTCAGTGCGGCTCCTATATTACGGTCATCCTCCAATTTACAGTATGTTCAGGGTTATTGAACATTTTTAACACGTTAATAAAGTGAAATTTGAAAATAAGTGTATGCATAGTAAAACAATATGATAATGTGATTTTTTAATCCTGGTCGTTCAATTTCTATAACGGAAAAGCTCTCAATTTGCGAACGAATTTCCGATATAAATCCTTAAAAGTCGTAGAACTATTCAATAGCTAACGATGGTGTAGGATAACGCGAGAAAAAATTTTTGGTTCTCAGTTTCATAACATTTCCAATTGAGCCGAATAAACTTCAATAGTACCTGAATCTTTTACACTTTTAATATTTGTTTTGCTTGCGCGACTAGCTAATTTTTTTCTCAGTGTATAATGCATTTAGATGCGTATTTACGCACATGACTAACTGCATTTGCAAACAAGTGACAAGTTTTGATTGGTTGGCAGTTTTTTTTGTGATTTGTGTGAGTGCCAGCGATAATAATAATAAAAGCAACCAACACCTAAACCGCTACTTAAATAATGTTAAATTTTTAATATCCATTTGTTTATGAGAGTGTGTAAATCTACACACGCACAGCTGCATGCATACATACGTACACCAATATGCAATGCATGTTCGCCTTGCAGAAATGCATTTATCACATGCCATCACAATACCAGCCACAGTTCTACACCCTACAATTCAAATGACGAGATAACAAAATTGTGGGACGAACCGACCATTTGTCAAGTGGACAAAAATAAAAATAGAGATGACATGATGGAATGTAAAGAACAAAATTTGGGAATCAAATGTTTGCCATAAAATATTTAATATTTATGAATGTAATGTTAGAAGATGGACATAGTTGATATGAGGAGTAATATTAAAATGATAGTTTCTGACTTATGTATATATTTTTTGTTGTAGATGTTGTTTGACATCCCTAGTCAACGTTTGGGCATTCATTTATTTAGTGAGCAAGCACATACCTATTCCGCCATACTGTTTGTTAGCCATCTAGTAATGGCTCCGACTACCACATACGAAACACGAAGTAGAGTAGAGTGGGTAATAAAGGATTTTTAATAGATATTGTTAACGAGTTTAGCATTATCATATTGTTACGAATATAATTTTAGATTTAAGTTAATTTAGATGAATTTCGTTAATTTAAGAATTTGAATTGTAACTTAAATTTCTACTACGCAGTTTATTCGAATAACTTCACAACAACAACTACTGTATAGATTTTTCTACATCCTTCCATTTCCTCTTTCATTTTCTATTTTGTTATTGACGTACAATTCTTGTTAAACGTCATCATTGATGATCGCTTAATTCATCTTTCTTTGTTACTCCCTCGCCTGTATATGTGTTGTTGTTATTGTTCACTCAATGTCAAGGACCAAGGATAATGAACCGAAAGATCTTCTAGTCGCTCTAGAGGCCATTATTATATGCAGAACATCACATATTTTACACGTTGATGATGATCGGTCAATATTCCGAGGGTCAAATCAACCAAAACCTAAAATGACCAAATTTTTATATTATGGCCTAAATATTCGGCTCGGGAAAACAAGATATTGAAAATATGCCAGGGTTATAAAGTGAAACTGTTTACCTATAATCGGAATATAGAACACCAGAAAGTTAGATTTTAGTTTAATTTTTGAGCATTTAAGTTTTTATATTAAACTAGCATATGCCCCTTATGGTATATACACTTAGATACGGTAAAAATGTACCTCATTGGTTTTAGACCCAATATTGATTTTAGACCCATGTTTCTTTGGACCAAATCCGTTTTCGAAAATTTGGAGTCGATTTAGCCATGTCCGTCCGTCCGTTGTCTGTCTGGCTGGTGCGCGCGATAATTCTCGAAGGCAGCAACCGATTTCATTCAAACTATGCACATCTTAATATTTCTTCCAAAATTAGTTTAAGTTCTACTCCTTCTGGTACCTCCCCCACAAAATGGTCAACATTGTGCTAAAAACTAATTTTATAATAACATGCAAACGGACAAATGGTCAAAATTTTCAATATTTGTAAATCCAATATCAGGCGAATATAATGTCCGATGTGAACCAACCTTTGCACAACCCATTATCTTTACGAAGTCTAGATTAAGGGAACCCCCTCCATTCTAGATTTTAATTTTTCAAGATTTTTAATGGGCTCAATACCAATGCTTGTTAAGGTTTGTAACTTTACACACATATATTTCAAGATTTAAAAAAGAAGAAAAATAATTTACAAAAAATTTTGTTGTTGTTTTTTGTAATTAAAGAGAAGTTCTTATTTTTGATGGCGGGCATGATAACTCCTCACTGGAACATCGGAATCCGAAAATTGACTTCGCTCTAAAATTAACAAAATGGCGGACCTTTGAAAAAATATTTTTGAAAAATCGTCGATTTTTGACCAAAAACTAAGTTAAAAAATAAGGAAGATCTTCACCGATTGGCTTTATCCTAGTTCATACGATAGCTATACACTCACAGAGAAACGTGTAAAAATTTGGAATCCATAGGATTATTAGTTTTTGAGTTATCGTGCCCGCCATTCGCAAAAGAGAAAAACGCGTTTAAAGTTTGAGAAGTCCTTTAGCCGTCACTTGATGCTGACACAATAAATTGGCTATGTCTTCAAGAGTTCTTGAGATTTTCACTTGAAAATTTGTGGGGACGTTCTTGAATTAGTGTAGATTCGAATTAAATCAAAAAAAAATTGACCCCGAAAAT